ATGTCTCAGGACAGGCTGGATCTGATGAAACTCTTGCAGAGGGGCTGGAGCGATAGCACAGCAGGTAGGGCGTTTGCCTTGCACGCAGCCAACATGACCGACACAGGTTCGATTCCCAGCACCCCATATGGTCCCCTGAGCACCGCCAGGAGCAATTCCTGAGTGCATGAGCCAGGAGTAACCACTGAGCATCGCCGGGTGTGACCCAAAAAGCAAAAAAAAAAAAAAAAAAACTTGCAGAGCCAGGTGTAAGCCCTGACCTAGGTGTGCTCCCCCCACCCCACCCCCCAAAAAATTTCTGATACCTTAACTCTCCACAATTAAGCTCTTGTTTGGTTGATTTGGGGGGTTGGGTTCTTTGAATTTTTTTTCTATCAGCTCTGCCCTTCTCTAGGACTGGCACCCCCAAAGTAGTTTATCTTCTGGGTCTGGGAATAAGAGGAAGCACATGCCTTATAGGTGAGGTCCCGGATGGGTTCCTCGGCACCACCCACCCAGCCCTGAACCAAGCTCCCACTGTGGAAAGCCGCTCATTGTCCATCAGAGCAACAAACTCCGCTTTGGCCACCCGGTCCGGCTCGCCTCAACAGTCTCTCTATTCTCCCGCTCTCAGAAGCTTTCTCTCTTACATAATAAGAAATCACACATTTCTACTTAATGAGGACCCAGCAAACACCCGAGCCCTCTGAACTGGGTCATCTTTTCAGGAGAAAAGGCTCGGCCCCGAGTCTCATTTGAAATGCTGGGTCCATCTGCAACCCCCCGGCGAGAGCGGCTGCCTCCACAGGCCTGTTCTTGAAAGGGCTCGCTCTCATGCCCGTCCAGGTGCTCCCAGATGGAAAGCCGCCAGCTTCCCTGTGCTGTAGACGAAGAGCCCCGCGCACCACACTTGTCAAACGCCAGATCAGGATTTGCACATTCTAATTTCACAGATCCCTCATATCACTGTCTAGAAAATTTCTCTGGGGACCGCAGCAATGTGACAGTGTACAGGCACTCATCTTGCATGTAATGTAGTCAACCTGGGTTCTATCCCCGGTATCCCGTAGGGTCCCCCGGGCCCACCAGGAGTGATCCCCAAGTGCAAAGCCAGGAGAAAGCCCTGAGCATCACTGGATGTCATCCAAAACCTGCCCTACCCCCCTGAAAAAAAGGAAAAAAAAATCATTACTTGGACTCACAATGGTACTTGCTGCCTGTGCATGCATGTGGATATGTTCTCACACCTACATGAGGCCCATTTGCACAGGCACACAGATAAACAAATGAAAAAACAGTACAGGGACCAGAGAGCATGTGTACAAAGGTACTTGCTTACACGCAACCAAGCCAGGTCTGATCTCTAGCAACCCACACAGTGGCCCCAGGAGTGATCCCTGACCCTGAGCACAGCTGGGCATGGTATTTAAAAATGAATTTTTGGGACTGGAGCAATAGCGCAGCGGGCAGAGCGTTTGCTTTGCACGCGGCCGACCCGGGTTCGATTCCCAGCATCCCATATGGTCCCCTGAGCACCGCCAGGGTTAATTCCTGAACGCAGAGCCAGGAGTAACCCCTGTGCATTGCCGGGTGTGACCCAAAAAGTAAAAAAAAAAAAAAAATGAATTTTTAAAAAGCCAGAGAGAGAGTACCAGAGTTAAGGATGCATGCAGGTGACCTCAGTTCATGACTGCAAAAGGTTCCCTAAGCACTTGCTCAAGAGTGACCCCTGAGCACAGAGCCCAGAATAAATAAGTCCTGTGCACTGCACACATGTGGTTCTCCCCTCAACACACACTGCAACATTTAAAACATTTCTGTACAGCGGGTAGGGCATTTGCCTTGCACGCGGCCGACCCGGGTTCGATTCCCAGCATCCCATATGGTCCCCTGAGCACCACCAGGAGTAATTCCTGCATGCAATCCCAGGAGTAACCCCTGTGCATCGCCAGGTGTGACCCCCCTCAAAAAAATATTTCTTCTCAAAAGCAATAAATAAAAGATAAACCATATGGCCAACATCCCTAGGCCCAGGAAAGACCCTATGTCCCAGCAATCTTAAGCAAGCTCCCCTTCCTATGAACCCAAGGAAAGTTCTAAACTTTCTAAAGTGTGAGCCCAGGGTCCCAGAGCGGGTTTTCCAATAAAGTCTTTGCTAAGTCTCAGCCTGCGTCGCTCCAGGCAGCCAGGCGACGCCACGCTATCGCTGGCTCATCTCAGATCAATAGGAAATACAAACTTCCACGGCAAATCAGAGCTAAGAGGCAGAGCAGCCTCCCAATGTTACACTGGAGACTGCTGAATTCTATGCGGGGGTGTGTATGGGGGTGTGGGATGCAGTTAGACTTGTTTTTGCTTCCCGTGCCAAAAGATCAGGGCTCCTCTCCTAAGCCACATCCCCAAACCCTGTGGAATCTGGGAGACAAGCCTTCAACCCGGACTCCTGGCGAACTCTGTGGTATCAGCACTTTGCCAGCTCCCTGCCCTCCGGGCGAACCAGAGCCTGTTTGAAAGGCAGCGGAACACCAGGGAACCAGAGAACCAGATTGGGTTACCTCCAGGGAGCCCCTGCAGGGCCTGCTCAGGGAACACAGGCACATAAGATACTTTGTGCCTTCCTTTTGGCGGAATCAGACAGACTTTTGCTTGGCTGCATCCTGACTGGAGGTGACAGCAGTGACAGCCTCCACCAGCAAGGTGGTGAGAAAGACTTGGCGGGGAGCGGCCCCTTCGCCACTCGCCGGCTGCAGGAGAGTCACGTAGACACCCAGGCCCTGGAATCCAGGCGGGAACAGATGGTCGGAGGCACTTTCCAACTGAAATTCCTACCCAGGCCCTGGCCACACGGGGCTTCTGCTGCCGCCTGCTTGCCTTCAAACCTTCCACTCTAAAAGGGTCCCGACAGCAGCACGTGAGGGCACTTCTCTGGGGAGCCTGCTCAGAGCACTTTGGAATGTCTCGTTTGCCAGTTTCAAGGAGAGTGAGGCCTTCAGAGGCACCAATGGCTCAGCCCTTGGTTTTTCTTGTTTCAGACTGTCCCCATAGAACCCACTTGATTGCCCCCCCCAATTAAAGATTACTTATCATTTCAGGGCCCCTGAGTCCTAGGACACCTGCCTTCCATCCCTGAAAACCCCCTTTCACCCCCATATAATCCCCTGAGCACCTCCAGGTGTAATCCCTGAGCTCAGAGCCAGGAGTAAACCTCGAGCACCTCCAGGTGTGGGCCCCTCCCCCACACCTGGGAGGGGTGGCTAGCACCCAAAAATGAAACAAAACCAAAAAAAAGATTCAACAATTCACTGTCACTTCTGGCTTCAAGGGAAAGTACCAAGGAAGAAATGAAGGTATTTGGTTTTTGTTTGTGTTCTGGGGCTTTTCTCCGGGCTCTGTGCTCACTCTGGGGGGTGCTCAGGGAACCTTATGTGATGAGAGGATTGAACTGGGGTTGGCCTCATGCAAGGCAAGCGCCTTAGAATCCCCATACTATCTTGCTGCCCTCCCGGCAAGATGCAGGCATTTGGGGAAAAAAAATCTGAACAAAGATAGGATTATAATGAGATTAAGACAAAACAATGGAAAGGTTTTGAAGCCTTGAAGAAAGATCTGGAAGAAACAGGGTTTACCCCTCACATTCTCCTTACAACTGCAAAATGCAGGTCAGAGAGACAGTACAGGGATGTCTTGTTGGTTCAAGCCCCTGCACCTCAGGTCACTCCAGCACTGCCAGGAGTGATCCCTGAGCACCGCAGGGCGTGTCCCCTCAAATAGGGGTTCAAGCCCCCCCCCCCAGCTCACGCAAAGCCCCAGCCCAATACAGGCCTTCAACCCAAGCCTGCTCTCTGCCTCCCCCCTTCCCAAACTGCACTCCCAGGAAGGAAAGAAAAAATTAGCCTGCCCGCGAATGCAACTTCTTAAAATTAAAACTGTGCCATTGGAGGTAACAGTCGCCTCAAACAAATCAGAGAGGCAGGCTATCATAAAGTCAGAACCCTTCCCAAAGAGGATGCCGACTTTCAGATTCTTCTTGGAACTCCAAAGACTTTAACAACCTGTGGGAGAAAATGGCTAAAAACCCCTCAAATCCTTAAATCCTGCCTTTCCAAGTTCGCTTTTGTCTTGCAGAACAACCTCCGCAGCCTTTTCCAATGAACCCGGGCTTTTGGAAAGAAGATCCTGCCCCCGCGCACGGTGGATAAGAAGCGCCTAGGACCACCCCACGACCCCCACCCCAACAGAAAAAAAAAAAGAGAGGCTAGCACCCATGTTTGCAATAGCGAGTTGTCCAGCAGAAGCTACCCGGCCTGAGGGTTCACGGCTGCTCGCCTCTGGCCGTGGAACGCTCATCCCTTGAGGATATGGTGCTAAGGCGAGATAAAGGGGGGGTGGGGGGGTCGGGTCCAACGGTTAGAGGGGCAGGACCTCGACTTCCCGCAACTCGCCACGCAAGCCGGGGGAGGCCTTCTCGGTTAGCCACAGCCAGGGAAGCAGGCTGCCGGCTGTCACAGGCTGCAAAGCGAGTCACCCGGGCTTCGGGCGAGACTCCCTCGGAACGCGCCGGCCTCCCGGAGCCGCCCGCGGCTGTGCGCGCCCCGAGGCGCTGGCGACTGGGCGCGCCTAGCCCGGCCCGACTCCCACAGGTGGGCAGCGCGCGGTCCGAGGCGGGGGGGTTGGGGGGGCTCATCCAGTGGGCAGGGGGTGAGGGCTCTACGCGTATGCGTGCACGAATGCATGCATGCATGCATGCATGCAGAACCAGTGGGAAACTCGGGGTTCTGCAACCTGAGTGCTCCCAGCTCCCCCAGCTGGGTGCTCGCCGCCGTCCCCCCAAGGCAGGAGGCGCCGGGGTGCAAGGAGCCGCGGCGAGCACCGCCCACCGCCTCGTCCCCCGGCGCGGTTAAGCCGCACGGCGGCGGTCTGCGGGCTGCATGCGCCCCGGCACGTACGAGTCGGCACGGGAGGCGGGGGGTGGGGGGGGAAGGGCCCTGCGCGTCCCCGCAGCCCCCCGCGCGCCCGCTCACCGGTGCGGGCCTGGATGTTCTCGCGCAGGAAGTGACCGCTGGAGAGGTGCTGCAGGCCAAAGTTCTGGGCGATCCTCTGGCACACCGTGCCCTTGCCCGAGCCGGGCGGCCCGAGGATGACCGCGCGCAGGAGTTTGGAAGCCATGGATGGCCCTGGCGAGGTCTGCGCTGGTCCTGGCGAGCGTCGGGAACTTTGTTTCTCCGGCGCCCTCTGATCGCGCCCCTGCCGCGGGGAGGGGGGGGAAGGAGACTTTCAGACCACCCCTCACCCCGCCCCCCACACGCTCTCCGGGCCGCCCCGGAGCCGGCTGGAAGGTGGAGGGAGGCGCCACGCTGCACCTCCCCGCCCTCGGCCCCCGGCGGCGGTGGCAGCCCAATTCCGAGCGCCCGCCGCAGGCGTGATCAGCCCCTGCTGGGGGTGACCGGAGACCGGCCGGGTCCCCCTCTCCAGGCCGCCGCCGCCCCCCACCCCCAATCCGGTCTCGAGCTGGCTCCCCGCGGCGCGTGCAGCATCCCCGCGCGCGCTCCCCCGCGCCCCCACGCACCGGGCGCCCCCCACCCGGCCCGCACGTGGGCAGCCGGGTCCTGCCCGCTGTCACTGCCCGCGGGGTCGCCCCGGGCCCGCACCTCGGCCGGGAAGCAGCGCTCGACGAGGCTCCGGCCCCGAGCGCGCTGGGCGGCGCCGCCTGCGCCCGCCCCCACCCCAGCCCCGGCCGGCCGCGCGGGACTCGCCTTACGTAAGCGGGGAGCCCGGCCCGCGCCCGCCCGGCCCCGCGCCCCCTCCCATACCCGCCGCCTGGCCCCGCGGGGGGTGCAGGGGACCCGGAGGACCCAAGCCCCTAGTCCGGGAGCGCCCGGGGCCCCGAGGGAAGGGCAAGGGAAATTGCAACTTGTTGAGCCTAGTGTTCGCCAAGTTCAAGGGGATGGGGGTCTCCTGCCCCCCACCACCACCCCATGCGCACACGCACACGCACACACACTCTCCCAGAAGGTGATCTGGGAGAGCCCGTCATTCATTCATTCATTCATTCATTCACGAGGTGTTTGAGAGGCCCATCCAGGTACCAAACACTCTGCGTTTGCTCTGCGCTCGCTGGAGAGAGAGCTGGGGATCCGGAAAGCAACAGCCCTGCACGAGGGTTTGAGCCCCACCTCGGCGGGCTCCGAAGGCCCGAGCTCTCCTGGGGGAGAAGCAAACAGGTCGATCCAATCACTCAGCTGCAGCCAAGACCGCACCCCCCGCGGGCGCGGGCCTAGGGGCCAGGATGTGGGCGCTCCACCCGCGCACACGTGGGATAATTCTTCCTTCTCGGGCCCTCCCCGCAGTGCCCCCAGTCCTTGATTATCTCTGCACTCTCGCCTTCCCGGGAGCGCCCCTCCGCCCGCCCCTCCTCTAAACAGCTGCGGCCGATGCTGATGGATCCCGGGCTAACCCGCTCCTGCGCTTTCCCGACCCTTCAGAAACAAGCTGGGAAGTTTTTTTCAGCGGGACCCGGACGGAGCCCAGCTCTGGAGCGTGTCGCTTGCAGGGCCGCGGCCCCGGAGTTGGACGTTAAAAATTTCAGCAGAGGAGCGCAAGGTGCCTTGCCTGCAAACGCCTTCGCATTCCCCACGCTCCTTCGCTCCGTCCTTGGGGGAAACCGGGGCGACCGGGGCTCGCTTAGAAGGGATTGGGGAGCTGAGGGCCTCCCGCAGGGTCAGATCGCACCCCCAGGCCACCTCCCCCCAAAGGATTTGTTCCTTTGTCTCCTGCCCCGGTGGAAAGTACCTGCGTCTGCTCAGACGGGGGAGGGGCTGCTCTGAAGCCCTTACCTGCCAGTATAAGGAAATGAACGTCCGTGAGGGTGGGGGGGAGGAGAGGGGGTGGGACACTTAAGTCCCCCTTCTTCCTGCCACATGCTGAGCGATATAAAGCAGAGACTTGGCAATCCCCAACTCTGAGCCCGCAGCCCCAGGACCTGTTCAAACAGGTTGCAGTGAGGGCCAGCGGGTTGGGCATTGGCCTGGCACACAGCAGATGAAGGGTTCGATCCTCAGCACCCTAATTCTATGGTCACTGAGCACCGCCAGGAATGATTCCCAAGCACAAAGCTAGGCATAAGAACTGAGCACAGCTGGGTGTGGCCTGCTGGGTGGAGGGCTTGAGGAGCAAGGGGTGGGGGTGGGGTGGAATACCTGAAAGTACAGAGGATAAGGCACATGCCTTGTATGAGGTAGACCCACTTGGCTCCCGGGCATCGTGTGGTCCCTCAGCATCAGGGTGCAAATCTGGAGACCCTGTTCCCAATCAGTCACCCAACTGGGGAACAAGTGGCCCCATGACTCAGGGAGGCCTAGGGAGGCCCCTCAGCTTCCCACAGAACACTTGGAAAGCCATCACCACCATCACCAAAAAAAATAAAAGAGAGAAAAGAAAACCACACCCAGACTGCTGACCCCTTTCTGAGTCAGAGGGGGAGTTCCTTCTAGCAAGTTCTCAGGAGCTGCTCCCCTCACCCCTTGGGAACCCTCCCCCTGGAGGCCAGACCGGGGTCCTTGAGATCTCTGCTGTGATGTGGTCCTCATGGGCAGATCCTAGAACCTCCTTTGTGAGGAGAGATGGACAGTACATCAGGGCACTTGGCTTGCACGTGGCCAACCTGGATTGAGGCCCCAGCACTCACTCCATCGGGTCCCCCAAGCACTGTCGGGAGTGATTCCTGAGTGCAGAGCCAGGAATAAGCCCTGAGCACTGTCAGGTGTGGCCCCAAAAACAAAATGAAAGAAAGGCCTCCGATTCCCAGCCTCCTCACTGGGGCCAGCCTTGGTTTCTGAGTTTTGGTGTGCATTTTGGGTGTTATTGGATTTTTCTCCCCTTCGCTTTTTGGGCTCAGGGCTCACTTCTTACAAGTTCAAGGGACCTTGTGGAGTTCCAGGGATGTAATTCAGATCAGTCACAGGCAAGGCCCTACTCACTGTGTTACAGCTCTGGCTCTGGGACCTGCTTTTGAATACTTTGTACCCATATCACCTTAAGGAGTCCTAGATCAACACCCACCTGCACGTTACCACATTTAAAAGCTTAGCATATGCTTCCCTTTAGAAAGGGAAGTTTCTCCAATGAATCTAATCAAAGCAGATAGAGTGTTAACTAGAATTCATCTGCCTCACAGGGACTGGGAGGGGTGGGGGGTGGGGGGTGGGGTTTTATTGGGGTTCTTCATGGTAAAAAATAAGTATTGGTAAAGGGAAATGTGTTTGATATTTGCATGACTGAGACCTAAACCTGAAAGCTTTGTAACCTTTCCCACAGTGATTCAATAAATAAATAAATAAATTTTAAAAAAAAGAAAGGGAAGTTTCTCATAGTCAACAAAGAGAAGCTCAAAGAAGGCTGGGGAGGATTACTCCATAACTTAGAGGCCAGCCGGGTATCCTAGAGGAAAGGGCTATTCAGATAGAGAAGGGAGCACCAAATAAAGGATGTTTGGAGGATCCTCCCAGGAGGGGAGATGCATGTCGAAAGTAGACTATGGACTGAACATGTTTGCCACTCAATGCCTCTTTTGCAGACCACAACACCCAAAAGGAGAGAGAGAACACAGGGGATTGCCCTGCCACAGAGACGGGGGGATGGGGGGATGGGGGTGGGAGGGATATTATCCATGGTGGTGGAAAATGGGCACTGGTGGAGGGATGGGTATCTGATCATTGTATAATTGAAACCAAAGCACAAAAAATTGTAAATCTACAACTTTAAAAAAAATAAAATAAAATAAAGGGGAAAAAAAAAAAAAAAGAAGGCTGGGGGCCAAATGGGTACCCTCTTACAACTGCACAGTTCACAAACTCACAGCCTCTGCATCTCTGAGAGCCTGTTTGCTTATCTTTAATAGATAATGCTTATCCGTAGGACTTTGTGGGTAAGCGTTATCTATTGTCCTTTATCAGACTTTGATAGGATCCAGCATCTTGCTGTGGGTATATGCTAAAGATTCAGTCATCAACCTTTTCACTGTTCTTAACCGTGGGTCAATTATCTAGGTGCTCTGGTTCTAGTTTTTTTGTTTTGTTTTGTTTTTCAGCCACACACTGCCAGGGGTTCCTCTTGGCTCTGTGCTGAGGACACCCTACATGATTCTGGGCATCAAACTGGATCAAACCCAGGTCTGCAAAGCAAGCACCTTAGCAGCACCTTACCATCACTCTGACCCCAGGTCCCAATTTTGAAAAATAAATGAGTGAATATAACAAAGCAGGAGCTTGGAGCAATAGCACAGCGGGTAGGATTGCAGGCGGCCGACCTGGGTTCAATTCCCAGCATCCCATAGAGTCCCCCGAGCACCGCCAGGAGTAATTCCTAGTGCAGAGCCAGGAGTAACCCCTGTCAATGCTCAGCATTGACGGGTGTGACCCAAAAAGCAAATAAATTGATAACGAAGCACCTCACAGCCCTGACCCTGAGGAGATGCTCTAGAAGGGCTGGAATGATAGTGATGGGAGAGAAGAGGGGTTTGGAGGCCAAATCCAGGCGGTGCTCGGGAGCTGCTCCTAGCTCTGTGCTCGGGGGTGATTCCTGGCCATGCTCGGGGCATCGTATGTAGTGCCAGACTCCACCCTGTGCCAGGAAAGCTCTACAGGGTCACTCACTCCTGGTGGTGCCTGCACGTGACAGGATCAAACCTGGGTCACCACATTCAAGGCAAGCACCCTGCTCGCTTTACTACCGCCCCGGCCCCTGCTGGAGAGCTAACCCCTTTATCACTGTCTTGGAAATAAAGCATGCCTAGGTGTTTGTCTCCCAGGAAGACAGACCCAACTCTGAGGGCCAGAGGCCACATTTCATTCATCTTTCCGGTCTTGTACTAAGCCAGGAAGATCTGGGCCTGGGCTGAGCGCATTCTTAGCATGCATGAAGCCTAAACTCAGTGACCTTCAGCACCTCTGGGCTCACGGAGCATCGCTGGGAAGGACCTAGGAGCTTACAGCTGGGACTAAGCCCTGAGCACCTACATGCAAACAAGATAACCAGCAACTTCACGCTTAAGAAGTACTTAGTGTTTCATAAAGCCCCTTCCTAACACAGGCTCTGTACCTTCACCTGCACATCAATCAAAGTCTACATTTGAGCACATCTTTTTGTTTGGTTTTGGATTGGTTTCGTTATTGTTTTTTGCTTTTTGGATCACACCCGGCGATGTACAGGGGTTACTCCTGCCTCATGCATTCAGGAATAACTCCTGGCGGTGATATGGGATGTTGGGAATTGAACCCGGGTCGGCCAATGTGCAAGGCAAACGCCCTATCTGCCGTGCTAATCACTCCAGCCCCTGGTTTTGTTCTTGTTTTTGAGTCACACCTGGCAGTGTTCA